TATTATTCATATATTACAAACCTTTACAGTCCCACATTATTCATATATTACAAACCTTTTACAGTCCCACATTGTTCATATATTACAAACCTTTTACAGCCCCATATTATTCATATATTACAAACCTTTCACAGCCCCATATTGTTCATATATTACAAACCTTTTACAGTCCCACATTGTTCATATGTTACAAACCTTTTACAGTCCCACATTGTTCAAATATTACAAACCTTTTACAGTCCCCCATATTATTCATATATTACAAAACCTTTCACAGCCCCATATTGTTCATATATTACAAACCTTTTACAGTCTATCAAGCTTGTGTTATATTTTAAAAATAAAGTCCGTATGTGCTGCTGAGATGTACTTGGAACCTCAGTAAAAGTTGTTTGTAATTCCATAAGCAAGTTGCTACAAAGAACGATCAGTGTAATTATCAAAAATATAAGAGCGTGGTTATAAGTAAACAAACGAGTAAATTCTAAGTGGATTTGTTATTATTTTTAGCCAGAGTTACGTTAATATTTAGTTTGCATAAACTTTAAAACATTTTGTCTGAAGCATGGCTAAAGATAAGATTTTTTTAATCTATTGAACTACCAACAATTATAACTTTGACAAAGAGAATTCTTCACAACACAACGCATCATCAGGTAACAACAATGAAGTTCGACACGGCTATAATTATAACTTAACATTTTTACGATATGTCGCAAATTGTTTTTGTTTTTTTCTACAACACTTCTATTTACAAAGTCAAAGCTATATCAACAAGAGTATTTTTGGAATACAAAGTAAAATGAGCTTTATCAATTGGTGTTAAAGTAATAAAAACTGCATCAATATAGATTTCTAAAAAAACTATTCCAAAGTCTACAGGTTCCGTAGCTTGTGATTTTTTGTGTTGGTGTCGCTAGTGGATAGTCTACAGTAAGATTCACTAACACTTACTTTCTTTGTTTCAAAAAATAAAAACGTACAAATGTCGATATTTTTTCTATATCTGTCTTCTGGTGTCGATTTATCGTTTTGACGATTTTTGATTAATATGAGTGTATTACTAGCTAACAACGATGAAATTATAAATAGATGTCCGAAATGTTTGCTACTGACCCGAATCTTTAAAATAGGGTTTAATATAAAAGCAATTCAATTTTGACATAAATATGTTCTTTAAAAACTCACCCAATCTTGACATTTCAACATGTCCAGCGTGCGTACTTCACTAACGTCTTCCCTGACTGATTCTCGAAGAATCTGAGTAAAAACCACAGATCATGATAAGTGATTGTAAAATCTGCATTAACATTTAACACACATCTGACGAATAAGTATCCGATTGAAACATATTCATTCTATCGAAAGTTTAGAGCTGAAAACATAAAATAAAGCTAACCTCAAAATGTAATTTTGATATAATAAAACATTAAATACACATTGGGAAGAAATAGTTCTTTGTTTCAAAATTTGTTTATCTTAATTTCAATAGATGGCGCTACACTGGCTTGCCCAATTATACGTACCTAAAATACCAAAAAGATTCAACGATTTATACATACTTCTATTTGATTTCACAATGATCATTTAATATCGAGTTAAATAATTACGCGATATATTTTTCGAGTTGTCTTAAAATCAATGATTTTAAACAAAGAAAACATGATGCATAAACATCCACTAATTTGTGAGAAATTTGGACACAAAATGTCACCTTGCCATTGGCTAAGTACAAAGGTGGACTGAGTAGACATGAATATACACTTAATGGTTGTAAGTATGATAAACCAACTTTCATCTTCCGAGTACTAAATTCGTTCACCAGAAAATATTGATAAAACTAATGGCACCTTTGTTCCTTTGGATATTTTTTCGAGGAAACTGGAAAGCTCCAAGGCTTCAGCAACAAGTGCTCGACACACAGCTTTATAGTGACTATCGGCTTGGGACGGACACAAAAGGTGAGATGCACACATCTGAAATGACAGGTATAAAAGAGAATTTTGTGCATTCCGAAATAGCAATTAAATTTTTTAAGCATAAAACAAACTAAAACCTCAAACCGAATGATTTTCTTTAAGTAGTAAATCAAAAAAGAATATACTTCTGACGGTTATACAAAAGACAAAAATGAACTCTAATCAAACATTTTACATACTGGAGTAATGATACCAGTACACAAATTACTCTAATCCAACATTTTACATACTGGAGTAATGGTATCAGTACACAAATTACTCTAATCCAACATTTTATATACTGGAGTAATGGTACTAGCACACGAATTACTCTAATCCAACATTTTATATACTGGAGTAATGGTACTAGCACACGAATTACTCTAATCCAACATTTTACATACTGGAGTAATGGTACTAGCACACAAATTACAGTCCATCATTTACTTCCATTTTGTTGAAACCCATAAGGCATCATGTATTAAATGTATCAGTAACCTATAAAATTTTCAAACACTTTCTTATTTATAAAATTACTGATTTTTGATATATTTCTGAAGACACTGTTGGAGAACAAGACGTACAAAATATAAAGCTCACACTTCTTGAATTATTTGCTACATACAAAAATAGAACTGCTTAGCAAGGGCGTAAAGGTCCAAAAAAGTTAGATGTTACACTGCTCCAAGCGATGTAAAAAAAATTTATTATTTATTAAAATTCATCCAGGAATAAGCTTTCTAACAAATGGCACGTGAAATGAAAATATTCACCATATAATTTCAAATTGTTGAATAAAAAAATTTCTTTTTCTGACATGCACTTATTCACTGAACATTTTTTGTGGACTTATTTTTTCAGTTAATTTCTCCAAGTATTTATTAACACATCTATATACTTCACACAAATACAAACTTAATAAAACAAAACTGGGTTCAAGTGTTTCAAAGCACAAAAATGTCCAATATATTTTCAATAGTATTCACATGTAAAATATGTTATATTTTGTATTTATGTCAAAGCTACCAAGGCTATTTACCCTAGTACTTAATTTTGAACTATTAACGAGATGGAAGACAAAGTATGTGGTTTTGTGTTGCTCCAGAGCTTAAACTCGCGCCACATGAGATTTTATCAAAAGATTCAGTAGATATTCAGCTACTTGAATAAATGTAAACTAGTATGTTTTTTAACTTGTAAAGGAGTTGAATCATCGCTTTGCGTGTTCACTGAAAATGAGAATTTGATTTTTATTTTCATCTAAGAGACAGCAGACAGAATGATTAAGAAAGCAGCTTCAACAGAGGTAACTGTAATGTTCAAGTTCTACACGACACCGCGTAACGCAACTTATATAGAAGTTTTTTATAAGGAGTCACACCCGACTGTAATTTTGATATACATAAACATTCTATGCACAAAATACAACAGAATAATGTTAGAAAATTTCTGTTTGTTAGGTGTGTTGGCGAGGAATATTTTGGTTTATTATTTCATTTAGCAAATAATATTGCAATGTATTTTATTTATCAATGCGTGAAATATTTGTTACTCTGGCCAGAAGGAACTACCTGACCCATATTTTGACAAACTTTTACGATCCTAGACAAACGTATGCTGACTATTATAGTCCACACTAGAAGTACAGTCGTCATTACGTACACCTACAAGAAAATTACCTACAGCTATACAGTTAAACGTTATATTCATAACATCTGTTTTTCTCATGTTTCTACGGAAACAGGTGATGTGTGTATATATATATATATGTGTGTGTGTGTGTGTGCGCATACATACATACATACATACTTATATGTAAAATAAATGCCCAACATTAAGTGGGCTTATAAATACCAACGTAACAATTATTACATATTACAATGAACCAAAAAATCGACTACATTCCTCCAATTCAATATATTGATTTAACTATGAGTTACAGAACTTGGCACGTGGACAGAATATTAACTACCTGACGTTATCAGAAAGCATATTTGTAATGCGTAGCAAAGCTCTTTCCTTGTGTGCATAACTAACAGGAAGTCCATTACATAGTTGGTTTTACGATTAACTACACAGAAATGTGCCATGTACTCATTTGAAGCCATCTATACGCAAAATGAATTAGTTTTTTTTAATAGTTAAAACATATTAACAAGAACGTTTATACGATTCTGAAAATTATTAACCCGAAAATATTTTACCGGAAAACCAGAACTAACATTCCCTTGTTGTTGTGAAAGCATTTTTTGTTATTAGTTTCAGTGATCTTACAAAAACGAATCCAGGGAAGTAAAACTGTTTCGAATTTCGCGCAAAGCTACATGAGGGCTATCTGCACTAGCCGTCCCTAATTTAGCAGTGTAAGACTAGAGGGAAGGCAGCTAGTCACCACCACTCACCACCAACTCTTTTAACAACGGATAGTGGGATTGACCGTCACATTATAACGCCCCCACAGCTGAAAGGACGAGCATGTTTGTGGAACGGGGATTCGAACCCACGACCCGCAGATTGCGAGTCGAGCTCCCTAACCACCTGGCCATGTGAAACAAAGAAATATATACATATACAATGTCATATATACATAGTCTAAGACCATATACCAACAAACACATTCCTCACAAAGATGACAACTCTGTTGCACCAAAAATGTAAGCCATGTACAAACTCAATATATGTTATTATCCGAAATCAAGGTGCTGTCTGAGATATACTTTAACCTTCCATGACTTGAAACATTTTCTCGCGGTCCACATAACTGGTAATAATGTATAGTACATTTATGGTATAAATTTAAGAAAGACTGCCTGTTAGTAAATAACCATGCTGCATTACTGGTAATATTAATACGGGACAGATGAAACGCTCGCCCAACCTTCCAGGAACTGCCGTCGTGGTCAGAAAGGGAACTGAATCATTGTTCCGTGTTAAAATAAGCAAAGCGCCTCCCATTGTTGTCTCGCATATTGTCATACACCTGTTTCCGGCTGCCAAATTTACGTGAAATGGCACAAAATAAAACACGGGTGAATAAATAAGTAAACTGGTTTTGTTTGTCAGTTTCCTTCCTATAGCTGAATTTGAAAGTAAGCTCTTTTTAAAAGGGAGCTTGTTTAACACAGTAACCGACATGGAAATACTTGTGAATTTACAGAAACCATGATACACTAACTAAACAAGAAGAAACAAGCAACAAAAGCATTCATATTGCTTGGAACTGCACATTGAAGGGAAAACCCACATTACCTACAGCTTACGCCAACTGTAATAACAAATACGAGGTAAATATTATAACTGGAATTGGAACCAAAAATAATTAAATACAATTAAAAAAAAGCATTATCCGCGAAATATGCAGAGAAAAATATTTTCATTTCAAATTTGCTAGTCACATAAGGTCTAGAAGGTAACGTAATATTATTACATGATTTATTTAAATATTTTGTTACTAAAGCATTCTTGAATGCAATAAGCCTTTTTCACATTATTACATAAATTATGTTAGATAGTTTAACTTAATTTTGTCAGTTTTTTTAAATTGTTATTTAGTTTCGCCTACTATTTTCAATGTCTTTAAAATCTAATATGAAATTGCGATTTATCAGAAGCCTCTTAGAAAATGTTCACCTTCAATAACGTAATACAATAACAAGGTTTTACAGAGTTTTATTTTCACAAAGATTCTGATTACTGTTCCTGATAGTGCCATGCATGGCTTTGTGGTTAATGTGCCAGATTTGGAATGAGAGGATCATTGGATTGATTTGCGGTAGATTAAAGAAGACCAAGAAGCTGTAGACAATGGAAAGTTATACGATTTTCTAATTTTTTTCAAAAAAATCACCAATATTTCTAGTGATAAAAGATCGATTCTATTCGTTACGGTAGTTGATGTAAACATCGTTGTACGTGAAAGGGATAATGAACAAAATACATTGGCAATAAGAACTAGACCAATTTGGATAAATTACCCTCATTAGATCTTCTATAGACTTTGAACCAACATGGAAAAATATATATAAGTATAAATAGTTTCATATCGAAAAACACATGCCAAAAATAATACATATAATGCAAAAATGATTTATCCGTAGATTATATGATCTTAACCCTCATCAGCAAACCTTTGAAAAGTTATGTTGTGGAACACCTGGGGTTCAAGTGGACCCCTGCACAAAATTACCATCAGAATAAGATCTGGATTGAAGTTCAAAACCCAACTGGATAACCTGCTTATTGGATGTTCAATCCATAGCCTACTATAAGGATACATTTGTGTTTGGGTCTGGTCGGACCCCAGGTGACCCATAACATACACTTTTAGTTTTCTTCGAGTTGAATTTTGCAGTATTGTGGTAATTTCATCATGTATTGGTAAATAATGACTTGAATATAGGAATATAATAAAACGTCAGCATTTTTTTTTGATACTCTGTTTGTGTAAGAAATAATTTAATATTACGTATTTGTATACTGAGGAACAATGTAATTTTGTAATTTCTTGATTTGTCCATATATTTCCTTTAGAATACATATATTTTTAAGTTGTTAACATTGCATGCTAACCCTAATAAAACTTGTAATGTACAACAATTATGAAACAAAGTTTTTATAAAATAGGGCATTATAAGTAGTCATCACAGAGAACACTTGAGGAATGAAATGAGCATACATGCTTACCACAATGATGTTATAAGCAGACAGCCAAGATGATACTGTACTACTTTGATTAATTATCTTTTACAATAGCCTATGTGAAATAAACGTTTAGATGTTTGTTTCATATGCTATAGGGGGAACTGCATGTATAGTGATGTTCGGTGATTGAATGGGGTCAGCATGGACCCCAGATAAATATTAGATTATAGCTACGTACTCCATCTGCCTGTTTCGAAAACAATGGTGTCATATTGATCCAGGGTTTCAATATGACAATTACACGAGTTGATATAAATTTTTAATGATTATGTAAAAAGATATACAACCGAGAAAGTCGTTGGGGTCCATGTGGACCCCGCGTGTGCTGATTAGGGTTAATCATATCTAAATCTTAGACTCAAAAGTGATGATATGGCTTATAAATTGATGAACCAAGATATAGCTGAAGTTACAATGTTATTATAGAATTATATAAATATAATTTTGAATTATATTATGATCAAATGGTGTTCACATTAGTTAGTCAGAAAATGAACTTACAATCTAGTCCACACATCCGATTTGACTATTAATGTAGTCTTAGATAAATTATTGAATAACTAAAGATAGCTTAATCATACTATCCACACTGTTTTGCTTTTTTTTTTTTATCAACAGTAGATATCTATCTTAAAACATATAGAAGCTCCTTTATACACACACACACATTATATATATAACACACACAAAGAAGCATAAACCTGGCTATAAGGATATTAAAGCCTTTTGGTCATGTTAAATTAATATAAAAGTAGGTAAACACTTCGTTTTGAAATAATTTTTGTATACAAGTAGCGGAACGTTTCGGTTTTTTAATACAGTCTGCAAAATTAATCAACCACCTTAACAACTTTAATATTACAAGGTAGTTGATTATGTAAAGCCAGAAGAAAAGCAATTAACGACATCGGATAGTTATTTTTATCTAGCGTATTACTATGAAAAAAAAAAACAAAAAACAACAACTGTAGATTGTGAATTTTAATGTTTATATGTTACAGTATATACAAATCTGCAACAACAACAACACTGTACCTTGAATCCTAAATAACATTTTACTACAAGTTTACTGAGCCCAAAGTTTTAGTCTATACCTTTAAACACACAATTGATCTTTACCATTTTACTACAACACGATCCGAACGAAAAAAGAGAAAGACAAAGATTTAATTCAAGTAATTCATTACCTTTTGTGAAGGTGAAAACAGTTTCTAATTTTCATTGTTTATTAAAGCACATTTTATTTTAGTTAGATTTAAATATATATATATATATATATATATATATTGTAAAATGTGTAAATATTACATTGTTTTCATTTGTAGTCATCAACGTTGTGAAACACATGTTCACTGGACTATCAAAATAGGCTACTAGAACCACTGTCTCCTTCATGATCAAAGAAGGATTCTCTTGCGCTATTCCTCCTTCAGTTTTACAATGCTGAGATAAGGTTAACTGTCACTGTTACAACGACCACAGGCAGATAGATAAAAACGAGAAACTGTTTGAAGGTCTGGGACACTTGCCAATTAGTAACTACAAATGTTGAATACCTAAAAGGGCAGAAGAAGGATAATGATGCAGGGGACATATGCGTGGTCACAGTGGCTGGCGCCATTTCCGCCAACTATACACCCACCGAGGTTGAATGATTTAAGTAAAGGAGAGAAAACTGGGCGTTGGTGAAACAACACTGTGGCCACAATCCACCTCTTCGTAAAATACGACAACTATTCATAAGGAAACATTTAATCTCATGGGTGTAAATGAATTTTCAGATAATAACATACACTGATCCCCTCGTAACACTTGCTTGTATGAATTCACGTAACTACTGAAGAAATGAATATGTATATTTCTTCCATATATGAACCATATCTATATACGTCATAATGGATGGTGATAAAACCATTTATTACAGATGAAGTTCAATTCATATTTTCATGGTTTTCCTGTAGTAAACAGTTCCTAAACTTGTCAAAGAACAGCTCAATAATCATTATAAAATCAAACTTTTACGTCAGTTTGACTCAAATGTTACTCCCTAGGGTAGAAACATAATATTATGCTGACTATTAAGTCCACTTATAAAACTTAATTTCAGAATAGGTTATGAATGACACAAAACCACGAAATACGTTTTAAAATTTTGATATTTCTTGAAGTTAAAATTTCCATAGAAAACACCCAAAACACGCATGTCCATATTCAGTACTGCCATATTACACTTATCAAAACCGACACTACACTTTCGAACGCGAAGCAAGACACACTAAATCACAAAATATCAACTATATTCGTACGAACAGTGTCTTACCCACGAGTCATTATTAGAAACCCTCTAGTTTTAGAGCGTAATTTATACTTTGTTAACGAGTATACAAAGGAGTTTGAAACTTCTTTATCATAAAATGAACTCATGATAAGTGTTTTTGTTCAAAACGTTTTACAAGTCGCTTATTTCTTACTATATTTATACAATATTATCTATATGATTGTAGAATTCTTAGTAATCAATAGCTGTTTGCAATTATCATATAATTATAAGTGTATAATAATAATTTAGTCGCACGTGAGTTAAAAAACATTTGTTTGCGCATGCCTCGTTATATACAGTATTGTTTAATTGATTAACGTTCAATGAATCTCACCTCAATGACTCTCTGTAATGTTAACCCATTCCTTTTTTTACCACCCCCTTCGTCATCCATTTCCAAAGGATCATCTTCTCCGGAGTCCTTCTCAATACCTTCATCGGCATTTTGGGATCTGACATCGTCGCTAAAGCTGCCGCTAGCGTCTGATGCATCGTCAGGATCCGCCGATGTCATTCGGTCGATAAGTATTTCTAGTGATTGGCTTAGGTTCCGGTCCTCATCTTCACATAAACCGTAATCCAAAGCATGGAAGATGACTAGGCCTAAAGAAGTCACAATCTGAAAAACAATAACGGAAAATCATAAAAAGTACATAAAATAACACATATCTCAATAAACCTACAAGCTTTGTTCAAAAGCAAACTAAAAATATATGATTTTCATCCCTTTAGACTGTATAGGGAAGAATAATTAACGTTTCGATCATCACATTAATAATCCAGTTCATTTTCGGAAAACTCGATATAATAAGACGATCAGTTTTAGGGTGTTAATACTTTCGAAAGTAGGTAATTTTTTAATAATAAAATATTACGACCACAGTTTAAAAAACCCATGAGCCCATGTTATGACATGCCTATTAAAGTATATGCAAAATTATTTAATATAGCTTCTCCACCTTTGTCCTTTCAGTTTTTTTACGAATTTAAACTGTATGCAAACAAGCTCCCTTCTATTCTTCTGTGCTATGTAATCAAACCATCAACAAATATTTGAATACAGTTAAGACTGTCTTATGTTGGGAATACTGAAACATTAGATAATGGATGCAATTGTTATAACAAATAGTATAACGAATTTTTGTACATATGTTTGACCTGTTTGGAATATATTATTTTAAAACTAGTGGATTATGTTCTGTTCGTTTATTGTTGAGATTTATCGCCAACAAGTCACAGACATCTGCTACAAAGAATTCGGCCCCCATAAAAACCTGATATTTGACGAACCAGCCAGGATTATACAGTGGTAAATGGCGGTGAAAGAAGACATGAATAACAGTGGAAGTAGGCCTATATACAAACAACTGTAGTGTAAATAGTGTGGAGATTACAGTCACGCTATATAACCATGTCGACTGACTTTGATTAGTGGATCGAAAGAGGCGAGTGTCTTGGGCTCAAGGTGGTGAACTACGAGAGTTTGTTAAACAACAACAAGAATTAGAGAGAGAAGAATGGCAACAAAAAGAGAGGAGAAGAGACAAAGAAGGAGGGAGAGCGGGCAGAGACTGCAAGTAGAGAGAATAAGAGCAAAATTGAGATTGCCAAGCTAACCCAACAGAAAGAAGAAGGACCCAAGAATGACAAAGAGGTCAAGACCAGCTGATGCAAGCAGCCAAATTTAATAAACAGAAACAGCAAGATATGAAAGATTCCCCCAAAGTCAGAACTGGGACAAATGCGACTGGGCAGTCTGTCTCAGCCCACTTCTCACAGGAAAAGACCAACAAGTGTATGCAGGCATGACATCAGAAGATGCCATGGACTATAACAAGTTAAAAGCAGTCTTGTTTAAATTTTATGAACTTAGTGAATAAAGTTTTTGAAGGAAATTCAGAAAAGTCAAACCTGAAATTGAAGAAACTATATTTCAGTTTGTGGCACGTCTACAGCGATACTTTACAAGGTGGACTGACATGTCCAAGTGTGAAAATAGTTTTGAAAGACTGGCAGATCTACTAATACGTGAACAGTTCTTGATCACGTGCTCAACTGACATGTCACTGTTCCTAAAAGAGAGAGCACCGAAAGACGTGGAGGAGATGACCAAACTGGCAGAACAGTAAATGGAAGCCCATGGAGGGAGTATAATTGACAAGTCCAAGAATAGCCAGTTAAAGTCTAAACCAGTGGTGGCTGACCAGAAACAGGATACCATCAAAGGTGACAAGAACTCAACAAATAAAAAGGTGAAAAAATGGTATATTTGTTATAAAATAGTGCAAGTTGCAAAGGAATGCAAATCCATCACCAACAAGCAACAGCAGAAACCTCAACATAAAGCAGTGGGAACCACCCATAAAGAGGGTGCTGGCAAAATACAATAAAAGAGTGACTGTCATTTCATGGATGTTGCTGCCAGAAGAAGCAGAATCAAGACAACTCCTTAGATTCACCACAAGGAGGAGGAAGTGCTATTTCCATGATAAATCAGTACACAACTGATGGTCAGTTTAAGTTAGCAAATGGAGCAACAGTGTCAGTAGTGATTGGAGCATGTGAAAAACATCGAGAGGTGACAACAACTCGCAACATGCCAGTGGGTGAAGGCTATCTCAGGGGCAAGAAAGTGAAAGTCCTACGAGATTTTGGCTGCAGTTGTGAGAATCATTCAAGTATCTGATGATCAAATGATGGGCAAGGTATGCCTATGAGTGCTAATTGATGGGACAGTGAGAAAGTTTTCCATAGCAAGAATAAAGGTGGACACTCCATATTATGAGAGAAACCTTGAAGCCATGTGTTTGAAGGTACCAATCTACAATTTGGTGATTGGAAACATACCAGGTAGTAGAAGTTTGGAGGAACTAGACAGAAAGAAGACTGGTGAGACATCTTAAGTCACCACAAGAGCTCAAGGGAAGAAGAGCAAGCGAGACATCAAGCCCCTTCAAGTCTCGAAAAATGACATCTCGAATGTAGGTCGACACGAAATAAAGAAAGCACAGAAGAAAGGCCCTTCACTGCAGATACGTTCAGACAGTGCTCGAGAGAAAGTCGAGCACAAGACAAAAGGGAAAGAGACTTACAAAATAGAGGGCCAGAAAGGAGTATCATACCAGATCTATGATGGCAATTCTACATGGAAGCTAAACACGTCAAAGGCAGTCAGAAGCACTTCTATGATAAGAAGGCCGAGGATCGACGTTTCAAGGTTGGACAGAAGATCTTAGTTCTGCTATCCACAGATAACAACAAACTCACCATGCAGTGGAAAGGTCCCTTTGAAGTAAAGGAAGTGGTCAACAGAATGGATTATAAGGTAAAAGTGGATAGAAAGACAAAGATCTACCACACCATTCTGTTGAAGAGGAACTTTCAAAGGGAAGGAGACTTAACGGGTATGGCTATTGAGGCACAAATTGATGTTGTAAGTGTGGCTGTCATAGATGCAGGACAAGAAGATGGTGACTGTCATAGAAGATGAAGACCTACTAGACCACTAGAGACCACGTCCAAGGATCCAGTCAAGGTGAGGCCCTATCAGATACCAGATAGCAGGAAGTTGGGGCAATGATAGAAGCTGGAATCATCGAGCTTTCGAATTCAGTCTACTATTCATCAGTGGTAATCATGAAGAAGAGGGATGGATCAAACCACTTCTGCATGGACTTCTGGAAGCTGAACCTCATAATGGCTATCGTGAAAATACTAGATATAGTTAAGTTCTTTCCAAAGATCGACATCAGTAAAGGTTATTGGCAGATCCTGATGGAGACAGAATCTAAAGAGAAGGCCTGGCATAACCAGGTGGTTAGGGTGCTTGACTCACTATCTGAGGGTCGCGGGTTCGAATCCCTGTCCCGCCAAACATGCTCGCCTGTTCAGCCATGGAGGCATTATAAAGTAATGGTCAATCCCATTATTTGTTAGTAAAAGTGGCCCAAGAGTTGGCAGTGGGTGGTAATGACTAGCTGCCTTTCCTCTAGTCTTTCACTGCTAAATTAGGGATGGCTAGTGTAGCTTTGCACGAACAACAAACCAATCTAAAGAGACAGATATTACCAGTTTATGAGTATGACATTAGGGTTAGTCAACTCAGGAGCAACAATCACAACCACAAGATGAAGAAGATGCTGCACAACACCGCCAACATCGAGCATTATGTGAATGACATTCTGACACACACACAGCCAGATGGGAAGATCACCTGAAGAAACTTAGAGAACTGTTCAGATGAGTAAGGGCAGCAGATCTGACCATCAGACCCTCTAAGTGCTACATTGGCTCTCCTGTGCTGGAGTTTGTTGGACACAAGGTGGGCAACTGACAGACAGCCATGGAAGAGGAGAAGCTAACCCACATACAAGATGCATCAGTACTGATGATCAGTCCTGGGGTTAGCAGGATACTACAGGAAGTTCATCTCCAACCAATGTGAAGTTACTGCAACATTGACTGACCTGTCCTACAAGGTTAAGTAAAAACAAAAAAATAAAGCAGATGGCATTCCAGAAGTTAAAGAACATGTTTAAAAGTTCACTAATCCTTAGAGTGCCAGACTTTAACAAACCATTTATCCTTCAAGCCAATGCTTCAGACATTGGAATTGGAGCAGTACTCCTACAAGAACATAAAGAAGGAATGTTTCTGGTAATGTAAGTAAGTAAAAAGTTAAGTAGTGAGAAGAACCAGTCTGTGAATGAATGACAGTGTCTGGCCATCATATTTGCCATTCGAAAGTTCCAGAACTACTTTTATGAGAAGTTCATCATCCAGACAGACCATTAACCACTCGCATAAATCCAGAGGTGCAAAATCGACAGTGCGAGGATCTTGAGGTGGACATTGTACCTTCAGAACTACAGGTTGTGCATTGAAGTCATCATGGGGACTGAAAATGTTGGTGTAGACTGTATGAGTAGACTTTGTATGAACTGAAAACATTCTCTGTATATATAGTGTAAAAAATATTGTAAATATTTTCTTGAAGAGGGGCTTATTGTTGGATATATATAAAACTGTTTAGTTTAAAATTATTATTTAGTTTATTTAGTGATTTAATCATTATTTAGCTTTCCTAACAAAAGTGTTAAAAGTTAAAATTTTAAAAGCGATAGTTATAACAAGTTTCATTACGTAACTCTGTAAGAGTCGTACACTGTATATGCAGTTTGATTGTTGTACTATTTTTTGTAATATTGTTGATGTCATCTTACTCGAAGCTTCCAAGTTTTTCTCGTTATGTGAATATTGTTGTCACTAAAGGGCTAGATATTTCTAGATTTTTCTGTTGTGTGTTATAAACACGTGCAGATACAGAAAGTGAAGTTAGACTGCATGATTGTGCATTTAGCCATAAAGAGCATATAGTGGCGATTTCTAAAGTGCGTTTCACAGTTTGTAATGTAATAACATAGTGTGGACTTTGACGAAAAGGAGACAATTATTTAAAGCTTTGGATATAACTGTGGTAACTAATATTTATAGTGGTGATTTTAAAGTGAGTATCACATCCTCGTAGTGTTACAACAGAGTCGAGGAGAATAACTGGTCTTGTCAAAGGATCTAAAGTAATTGAACCCGCCTGTATGGACTTTGACGAAAAGGATACAG